TGACACTGTAATAAAGACTATGATGGAAAATTACAAGCAGTGGAGAGCAGTAGGGATTATGATTGGTTTTTGTTGCGATTTTTAGAACTCTTTCAAGAACAAGGCAAGATGTAAAAGAACTTTTCTTTTTTTAAAGCAAGAGCCTGCTACAAGGTATACATGTCCCAGAGGCAGTCACATAAGTATGAACATGGTCAAGGGTACGTTATTCCAAGAGAATCATCCAGATCGAAAAGACGTGACCTCACAGCTAAGTTTTGCAGACCTGGTGAAGAGAAAGCAAGTGCCTCTAGTTAATTATGGAAACGAAAATAATCAAGATATGAAACGCGGTGTTTACAGTAATCTCCCAAAAGAACAAAGCGCAAATAAGACTGTAGGTGGCTCACACTACTGAAGGCCAATCACAAGCCTGATGAACAAGAAAGCCGGATGAGTTGAGGGATAATTGGGAAGCACAAGAGTACCAAGGAAGGGCAAGGCAAAGAACTGGTCATCTAAGAAAGAGAGTGAAATAAGTAAAGGGGGAGGACACAGAATTACTTCAGTTAGAGCAGAGAATAAAAGAGCAGGTGCTGGGAAAATATAGGAAAGTGTCGGGGCCCCTTGGATGTTCAGAATCTTGCAGAGCATTTGCTGTAAATATCCTCAGGTGTTCCCTGCTTACTACTTAATGTAATGGCGCATGTGCACCCAGGTGTCCTGGGTTATGGACCTAAGTATAAAGGACTAACAGCTCTGATACACGGTGCTTCTCAGAATGCTCCGAGAAGCCACTCGGACGACTGCTCCTAGCTCTGAATAAAGCCTCTTCATTTTTACCCATGGCTCCCAGGACCTTTTCCTATTACCTGGCTCGTAGACCTGCGTGTGCAGGGTTTGTGACAGTCTGTGCAACGGTCTAGAGGGGTGTGAGAGCCCTGGCCCTAGCTCTACAGCATGATAATCAAGACAACCTGAGAACACGCTTGGCTGCTGCCACTGAGGGGTTTGCTGAACATGTAGGGAAGGGAGGAGGGTGTTCATGTCAAAAATATATACACAAAGGCGAATCTCTAAGAGAACGTTTTATTTGGGAAAGCAAGATTGCAGTCCGGGGCACACACACAGACTGGGTGGTCTCTGGTATGTCCAAAGAACAAAGAAAAGTCTGGAGTTTTACTAGAGAGAGGAATGTTAACATATTGTTTTGAAAGAAAGGCTCACTGGCACCAGCAAAATTTTCAGAAGTTGGCAGACTTTGGTGAGTGATGTGGTAAATAAAATTAGGCTTGGAGTCAGGGAAGGTCGTTTCAGCAGCTACTAGGTAAAAGCAAGTCTTAGGTTTACAGCAGGCTGTTTCAACCACTGTGTTTATACAAAATTCTTCTTGGAACAGTGGCTATGTGCTCTGAGTGCTTTTTCCTCCTGGACCCTCGGCTGCAATTTTAGTTTCAATATGCCAAGAATGACCAAATTTGTATTACCAACTTTCACAAGGGAATGTCAGGAATCAGGAGGATCAGACAAGGAGCCTGTGTAGAATCTTTCCAGAAGGATGGAGAATGGGTCTAGCCCTGTGGACTCAGAGGAGCTTATGATAAAGAGGGCGTAAGGAAAGTGGGTTCCAGTTCAGCCCCGTCACAGTGAGGTCCCATGGAAAGGGGTGGGGGAGGAAGAGGGGGAGGTTTGAATGACCACCCACGAGGCTGGGTCACGGTGTGCTTGTTGCCCGTGTCCTATATCAGCAAGTCGTGGAGGCACGGGCAGGGGGTATTTGTGTTTCT